TAATTAACAATTTTTTTTACTGTAAACTTATATAAAATATTAATAAAAAAAATTAAAAGCTGTTGTTTAAAAGCTTTAGCATTTTAATAAATTTGTTTTTAATAGCTTTTGTACGAATAGCTAACGTTAAACATAGTTATAAGTAAAAAAAAAAGTTAATTGTTTAGCAAACTTTTGCGTAGTTTATATAATAATATTTAAAGTTTTTATTGTTTAACGAACTTTTGCGCAGTTTATATAATAGTATTAAAAGTAGTACAATTGCGTACTATTAGTTAAACTTTTATATAAAAGCTAAGCTAAAGTATAATTATAAAACTAATTTTTTTAGCTTGTTAAATGTTTTATAAAGCTAAAGTATATAATATAAAATATATAGCTTATACGTTTAATATTAAAATTTTGTTTTTATTTTTGCTAATTTATATTTTTTAGCTAAAAAACACTAATTAATGTTAAATAGCTAAAAGTATAATATTGTACGTAAATAAAACGTATAAAACAAATAACTTATATATTAATCTTGTTTTTTATTAAAAAAAAAAGCAAAGCTTTTGTACGTAGGATTTTTTGCTTAAGCAAAAAATTTTGCGTACGTGTACTATTTACTTAATTAAGCTAACAAGTTATTTAAACAGTTGTGCGAAAAGTTTTACATGTAGTTAACACTAATGTTTTAACATTAGCTGTTTTAATTAAATTAGTTGTTTTTAATTAAATTAACTGCTTTTAAACAAATTAATTAAACTAACTGTTTTTAATTAAATTAACTGCTTTTAAACAAATTAATTAAACTAACTGTTTTTAATTAAATTAACTACTTTTAAACAAATTAATTAAACTAACTGTTTTTAATTAAATTAACTGCTTTTAAACAAATTAATTAAACTAATTATTTTTAATTAAATTAACTACTATTAGTTATATTTGTTAAGTTAAATTTATTAATACTTTTATTTTAATAGCAGCTATAGCTAATTTATTATACTTATAAATTATTTATATTTATAACTGCGCAATTAACCAAGCTAAACTATTGTTTTCTAACTTTTTACTATATATATAAAACTTGCTGTAAAGCTTATACAAATTTGGTTAAAATAAGAGCAGGAAGTATAAAGCCCGGGAATGTTGCCGAATAAAGCTAGTTTAATGTGTAATTACGAAAACATGATGTGTGAGAATCCGACCCGGAATTGCCCTTATTCACACTACTAAAGAATACAAGCTCGAGATATGTAAGTCATGATCGCCATAAAAGTGGTGCGCTAGTTGGTAAGTAAAAACGTATTACCGGATAAATCACTTATGATGTCGGATTTGTTTGCTCTCCAAGGTCGTCTCGGAATGGAACGCACCGGTATCCTGATACATGCGAAATCTCTGGCCTCAGATTCCCTCAAATTTTCACATTTTTGTCCGGTTTGTTTCCAGTCTGTCGTCAGAACAGATGTTTGTGAGACACATTTCTCCTATCTTCGCAAATGGCTAAAAAGTCGACTGCCAAGGCGGCGGCCACCAACAGCCGAACCATCACATCATTTGCATCAATTGCCGTTGCTATAATCAGCACGATATTGGCCGCGTGGCTACTTGGCCCCAGATCGGGCCTCCTGATGAATTCAGTGCATTCGCCATCGCCACCCTCACAATTGAACTCATCATCTAGCGATGTGCTGTGTGAAGACCAGAGCTATAAAACTGAGCTCATCTCATTGGACCCGCTTGTCATTTATATTCACGACTTCTTCAATACAAAAGACATCAGTAACATTATACAAGCCGGCGAGAACCGCTTTAACCCCTCGGTAGTGCATAAGAACGGGAAGATGATCCAGAACCCGTACCGTACCTCATGGAGCGCCGCCTTGCCGGCTGAGGACCCAGCAGTAGAGTGCGTGCTCGAGCGATCGAGGAAGTTCCTCGGCACCATTCTTGACCCTAGCGAGGACGAGATGGGTGTGCCGCAGCTTGTGCGATATACCGAAGGTCAAGAATACAACCTTCACCACGACTGGATGCGGATACCGCAAGCAGCATTCGACGGGTCACCACGAACGTTCAATCGCGTTGCTAGTTTCTTCGTCATACTGCAAGACACGTGCGCGGGGGGCGAAACTTGGTTCCCCTTTATTAAGGCTATATCGCCACAACCAAAGGAAAGTGACGAAGGCCGACTATGGCGTGAGCATGAAGATGGTGGTCTCGCCTTCAAGCCTATTGCTGGAAATGCCCTCTTTTGGGTCAATCTGTTTCCGAACGGTACTGGTGACACACGAACTGTGCATGCCGGTTTGCCAGTCACTGGTGGTTTGAAGACCGCGATGAATATCTGGCCGAGACAATACCGTCCTAACTCATAATAAGCTATCGGGTGAGTCAGACAACAGATGTCAGAGACGTCTCATCTTGTGCCCCGTATTCTCCGACCGTAGAAATATATCATTATATCCTAGACAGGATTTATGATGTCAAAATAGAGCGAAAATCAGATAGTCAAGTGTCTTATAGTTCATTGCTAGGCGATCACGAGTTTCGTCGAACCGAAACATTCTCACGCCCTTTCAGCCGCCTTGTTGGTCTTCTCTATCAGAGCTTCTTTCCTCTACATAAGGGCAAATATATATGATAATAGAAACTTGAGCTACAGGCTTTAGCTACGCAAAGCAAAGGCAGAATAATGAATAAGGCCAGGCCAGATTTGCACTCTCTACCTCACACAACCGCTTGATATCGGAAAACAATGTAATGTTCCCGTTGGTGTGATGAATCGTCTTGTGAACGTCTCTCAGCTTACGAGTCCAGAGTTGAAGAGGGTTACAATTGCGCGGTGGCAAAATTAGCAGTTGTCGTTGCCTGTCAAAATAGGTGGGGATAGCTTCGGTGCGGAGTTGAGTAACTGGGGGTACATTGACCTCGCAACATCACGTCATAGATAAAACGACATTTGCAAGGTAGGTAGGCGTAAATTGGCTCTAGTTTAGATACACATTTACTTACTTTAATAAACTACATTCATTTCGCGAATCTATAATGAGATTTTAACTATTTCATTCACATTTCCCAGGCCAATATGCCTCTTCCAGATGCGGAGCTGCACCCTGTCGCGACTGGTCTCGCAAAGCAGACTGTCGACGTAAGACAACCTCCCATAAACTGTATCCTTCCGGTAGTGCTGATGACTATCACAGGACCACGCAGCAGAAAACCAACTGAAGCTGTTTTCGGGATGGTTTTGCCCCTTTGTCCAGCGAGTCTGGCTCACGCTCGAGGAGAAGGGGATTCCGTACGAGTATATTGAAAATGAGTCCATCATATTGTGTCGAAACTGTGATATAACGCGCACACATGCTCACGCATAATCAGTCAACCCCTACCACAAGGGACCCGAGCTCATGCGCTCGAACCCCCGGGGTCTCGTGCCGACCCTGCAAGTAGCACCCGGCAAATCACTATACGAAAGCACAGTGATCTGCGAGTACTTGGAAGACCACTACGCGGATCACGAACCAAAATTGTTCCCATCGGACAACTACGAGCGCGCACGCTCACGCATATGGATGGACTACGTGACGAGCCGGGTCATCCCCGCGTTCCATCGCTTCTTACAATTCCAGCCTTCGTCCTACGATGGGGACGGGGCCGCGCGACTTGACGAACTGCGCGCCGAGTTTCGGAAATGCCTGCTCGAGTTCGCTGGTGAGATGGCAGATGTGGCCCAGGGGCCGTGGTTCGCGGGTAAGGACATCGGACTAGTGGACATCACGCTGCTGCCGTGGGCCGTGCGGCTGTGGGTCTTCGACGAGTTCAAAGGCGGGCTGGGCATTCCGGAGAAAGGGGCCGGCGGCCAGGACGAGGAGAGATGGGAGCGCTGGCGCGTCTGGCTCGCTGCTGTCAATGAGCGGGATAGTGTGAAGAAGACGACTAGTGATAGGGAACACTATCGCCCTATTTATAAGCGATATGCTGACGATACTGCGCAGTCGGAGTTGGCGAAGGCCACTAGGGAGGGGAGAGGTGTGCCCTGAAACCGGGAGGGATGAGGCGAGGACGTTGGCTACCTGGACTGACTGTACTGTTCAATGAGTTTTCCAGAGGTTTTACACTCACGATTCATATTAACGTTGTAAGACGCGAGCAGATATATGGGTTGTTTGACAAAGACAACTTTGAGCCAGTAGAATTGACATATGATGAATTTTCATGAAATTTAGTTTACAGTAAAGGTTACTACTTAGTCGCCTGAAGCTTATCGGTCCAATAGGCTCTATTAACGTACCCGCACCAACTTCACTTCTACACTATACAGTCGTAGTGAACACCTGGATTCTCGATCATGATCTCATTACTCTTTTGGAAATTTGAATTTTATGAAGTACAAGACATGGGGGTGCTCCCAATTTACCCAACGTTTTATGATCTGATACGGCCTCACGCCTTATGACTACTAATAATTACCCTCCGATATCTGGTACTAAAAGGACTGTGTTTCGGTCTATGGAGTCCAACTTTTAAACAATGGGTCCATGCACTTGGTGCTAATTCCTTCCGATCCAAACCGGCCTCGGGAACACACCGAGGCAACAGCAGGGGACTGAGACTACGGCTTTGCTATTGTGGTCCCCAAGGTGAACATATAATTTCTATTGCCTTAGAATGCCGCAAAATCCTTGCAGCGTGCTAGATTTCTAACATTGAGATATGTAAAGGTAGGTATGAGCAACAATGGTCGGTTGTCGCACAGCCATCATAGTCTACCAACAGAAAAGTATCGCGTTTTCTTAATGTCATAACAAACAGGCTCGTTTAAAAATCAATAAGAAATGGCCATTGTATATAAAATCGGGTTGAGATGTATTATTTTAGAAGAGGGCAGATGTTTGCTTGTTCTGTTTAAGCTCATAAGAATCATTAACCAACTTTATTACTATCTCACTACATAACATACCTGCTGTGACAGGGAAAAAATAGAACCTAATGAAAAAGTCGAAAGACAAGCTCGACGAGGGCCTGATTCGAACAGACGCTCCTGAAGGAAAAGTATCACTAGAATCAAACGCTCGAGTCCTTTGCGTTAATCACTCCGCCACCCAGCCGCTAGTTACCGTCCCACTTGACAGATTTCTATATCGTCATGTGCGTATCACTGCTATTTAGCATCCGGGGTGCTGACTTGTATCTGTCCAGGTCAAACCTTCTTACAATGTGAGGTGTCTGCCTCTACTTAGTTTCGCTAATTGGGCGTCGTATGCCATACTAAACAAAAGTCGGGCTTGGGATCGTTTTGTTGCTACAACTATGCGTAGCTATTTTAACGGGGCATCATTCATATATATGCTCCTCTTTATGTTAATGCTCTTGGGAATAGGAAGACAGACGCTTCATACGCAGCCAAAGGCACGAAATTTGTTTTCTAAAGTATACTTGCTACGTAGCTGTCTTGACTAATGTTTAGTTCTCCGACAGAACAAGCGTCGCTTCACCGAGGTGTGATATAACGTAAAACCCCATCTCGCAGTCGGACGATGTTATAATTTTTCTATGATAGATGCATAAAGTAATACATCTCACCCAATAATTACTCCGCGCAACGACCTTCAACCGTGAGTGGGCGGAGGATTTACTACAGCGATGAAGTTGAAGTTCGGGTTATTATAACCACCGCCCTCTTTCCAAGTAGCTGCGTACGGGGCATAGTAGTCCCAATTGGACGAAGTGTTGAGAGCAAGCTCGGCCCAGACAAAGAGACCGTTGTTGAGACCGTTGCCAAGCGTAATATAGTTCGGAAAGGGGTCAAACTGGGAGGTGGCGGCATAACCCGTGAACTGATCTACCAAGTTGGCCGTCTTCGGGATGCGGTTCGTATTGTAAGGCGCCGTGGCTTCGACGGCGTCGCGCAAGGCCTGGTCGAAGAACAGCTGGGAGAGATGCGCGACTCGACCGCCCGTGTAAGTCCCGTTCGGCAGCGTCGTGGCGCCGACGTGTGCGATTAGGTGCTGATGCGTCGCGCGTCCCTGGTAGTGGCCCGGGAATATCGTGTCGAAGGACACGACGCCGTCGGAATCGGTAGGCTGCACCCCACGTAAATACGTGGTTCCAAGCCCGCCTTCTCCCCTTGCGCTCACGCCGCTGTATGCGCCGGTTGCGTTGCACGACCATGTATCGATCAAAAGCTGTGTTGCCGGCTTGCAGGTGGTCACGTCAATGAATTGGAGTTCGATATGCATAGGCACGCCGACTACTTGCTCGACGAGATCCGAACGGATCTTTTCTTGGAGCACGAAGTATGGCCCGTTGGCATTGTCCGGGGTTAGCACACAGCTGGTGTTTGAACCAAAGATCTCATCGTTCGTTGATTCTCTGGTGAAGTTGACCGAACCAGTTTTGTCGTGGCTTAAAGCAGCCCATTTTCGGAGCGAGGCGGCGTCTCTTCTGTGTAGCCAAGTTGCTGAGCGGATATGAGTCTCTGAACGTGTTCTGTCTCCGTCAAGTTGGATATGTGGGCTTACCCTCCTCAAGGTTCTTTTCTTGGCGCAACCGTGCAAAGGTCGCCGCCCGGCGAGCGATAGCCCGTTCCTTACGTGCCTTGACCTCTGGGTCGTTCTGGCATGCTTCCAAGGCCCTTGAGTTCATCATGTTGACTACATGAGCATTTGCCATCTCGTCTTCAATCTGGCGGGCACTGAGATGCTCCCCTGGGTGCGCCGTGGCCATAAAGGCCAGCGACAGCACCACGGCCATGCCGGCTGCGAACGACGACGTGAATATCATTCTAGAGGTTGCGCTTTTGATAGAAGATATTCACTGAGAAGCGTAGTGTTAGAACCCCAATTATAAGTCTTTTCTTCCCTCGGGGGTCTCAGCCCCTTTAAGCTAGGATCAGACCGCACGGCGGATTCCACTTGGCAGTCATTCAGATTCATTTTTATTACATTCATTCCTTATGTGGTTGCCAAGAATACACATCAAAAATAGTTGTCGGCAGACTGCGGTAGACGTGGCAGTGGTAGTCGGCAAGGCGCAACGGCAGGAATAACATTTCTTCCTTAATCCTACCGTATGACTCGTCAGTTGATTGAGGACTCTTTCGCTCCGAGCTGGCTTTTGAGTTTATCCGGATCATGCCACGCTCTGTTCCATAATAGTACGAGCTTCACATATTATTCACAGCTTGTTGGGTTTGTCTGAGAGACCGGGGTTCCTTATGAGGCTAAATCACCTGCTGACATATCCTTCCTCGTGAGAGGTCACCCACATGCACCCCAGATTTTGATGCTTACCCACAAGTGTGAACATTCACTTGCCGGATCCAATGAGATAGAGCCTTACTAGGGCCGAGAATATGTGGTGTTGAACCAGAGGCGTATTGCTACGTCAGCCCATAATTTACCTGAAGACTGGCGATCATGCAAAGGAGTATCGGTAAATACAAAAGGTAGATTTCGAGCGCGTTACGTCAGAGCATTTATCATCACATGTAAGCGGTGATTGAAGGGATACCTCTGTTAGTGTATCGCGTTCTTAGGAACTCAGACAATGAATTTGCTATAGTATTGGGTTACATAATTATGGAACGATTTAGCTGTTTTACGGCTACCCAATTGAACATATTGTACGGAGTAAATCTGGAGGAGTCACTACTAATTACCTAAATGTCAGTTTTCTTCCTTAATCGATATAACACCGATTCGCGGATGAATATCAGGGCCAGCAGAACGATAGATGATACCGAGCCCAGAGGGGCGTTGATTTGGAACCACGACAGAGAAAATGCGTAGCAGATGCTGATCCGAGGATAGGAAAGAAACCTACCAGAAGAGATATCAAGAGAGCGGACTGTTATGCAACCACTTCCGGTATATGTATAGCCAAGAATAGTGGTCAAAGGTGTTCCGACTCCTTGGCGAAACAATGATAGTTCTCGTATACCCTGTATTTGGCTCCTCAGCGAGATACTCGCTGAAGACATTATGTCTTCTAACAACTTTGACCAAGAATAACAGACTCGGAGTGAGGCGTGGCTTTATGCAAGGGAATATAGAATATGACAGTTCATGGCAAATTGCTAGTGTGGTCTCACATTTTTAAGTGTACAACGTCGTAAAGTTGATACTGGTGCAAAATGCTGGTAAGCCATGAAATAAATGACGCTAGCTAGTTTTATTCTAAACTAGATACTTTCTCATATTTTTTGCGTGACCTCACTCGAAAATAAGGCTTGCCACGCTTATAGCCCTAAAAAGTACTATCCAAAAAACGCCAGCGTAGTTGGCTCTAGCGTGCCAAAGTCTCATGACTTTGGGGATTTAAGCACCATTGCCGTTGTAGGCGATCAGATTGACGGTTCCGGTTCGGATGCCGCTGATCTTGCCAGAGGTGCCCAGAGCCTTGATGCGGGCAGTAATAGCAGCGGGGGTCGAGAGACCCTCGAGAGCGATTAGGTAGAGAGCAAGACCAGCGACGTGAGGAGTGGACATCGAGGTACCCGAGATGGTGTTAGTGGCGGTGTTGCTGCCAATCCAAGATGACAGAACGCTGACACCAGGAGCGGCAATGTCGACGACGGCGCCGTAGTTGGAGAAGGAGGCGAATGCCCAGCTAGAGTCAATGGCGGAAACAGTGAAGGCATTGGCAGCAGAGGCGGGGGAGGTGTTAGCAGCGTCGACACCGTCGTTGCCTGCCGCAATGGCGGAGAGGACGCCGGAGCTGTAGGCGCTATTGACAGCGTTGTTGAATGCAGAGGAGAAGCCACCGCCTAAGGAACATTAGGATCTATTCTGAAGTGGAGGGATGCAGATTCTTACCAAGTGACAAGCTGAGAACGGACTTGCTCTGGCGGCCCTTGCTGATGATGTCGTTGACAGCCCAGTTGTAGCCATCAAGAATGATGGTGGTCGAGCTGGACGATCCACTGAAAACCTTGACAGAGATGATAGTGGCAGCCTTGGCAACACCGTAGGTTGAACCACCGAGAGTACCGGCAACGTGAGTACCGTGGCCGTTGGAGTCGACATTGGCGCCGCCGACAGCATTGTAACCATAGGAACCTCGGCCGCCGAACTGGGTGTGGGTGGTCAGGAGACCGGTGTCGACGATGTACGCGTAAGTACCGGCGCCGGCCGAGCTGTCATAGATATAGCTCGTAGAGCCGCTGTTTCGGTGGGAGATCGTTCCCAGACCCCAGGTTGCGCCGGTCTGGGTGGTCAGGGCTCGCTCAGAAAGCTCATGGGTCTCCTCGAAAAGGTGCCAGACCTGGTCCTGCTCGACCTCTGCGACCTTTTATAGAGAGTCAGTATGTGTTGGTCTATGATAGAGTCGCATAAAGTACCTGGGGGTGAGCCTTGACCTCTGCAAGGGTCTGCGCGTCCATCTCGACGGCATAAGCGTTGAAGTTCTTGATGCTATATGTCTTCTCAACGCCGGCAGTGTCGCGGCTGCTCAAGCTACGAGCGTGGACATCACGGGCCCAGCTAATATGGCTCTCGAAGTCGGTGGTGCTAATGCCGCTCTTGAGAGTGACAATGTATTTGTTGGGAATGTACTCAGGCTCGCTAGCCTTCTTGCCGGCAGGAGCAGCGAGGGCGGCGGGGAGCAGAGCTCCGAAGAAGAGAGCCAAACTGCGAAAGCTATGCATCTTGTAGAATAGACTGAAGGAATTTGTCTGTAGTATGTGAAGCCGGAGCCGTGATTGCAAGGCTAAGATCAGGTAGATGTGGTTGAACTGCCTCCTTTATATAGATTCAGACCCTCTATGATGGCTTGGAAACCGAATGCCAAAGACGATGTTGCGCAATACCTGCCAAGCAACTCGTCGCAAGGCCAAGAGTTGTTTAGTTTCCCAGACCAACTCAATAAAGATTCCAGACGCATCAATTCTTGTAAGCTTCATGATACCAGTCAGAATGAGGAAGGAGTGAAGCAGAGAGGCTGAGTGGAGGACGGTACTGGTGATGGTCAGGCGACGATAGCATCCAAGTCGTATTCTTGGCATAGTAGACTATGAAGATAGAGAAGCCGGGCACTGTCGTGATACAGATAAGTATCATAACAGACGTGATGGTGACCATTGGATTTCATTGGAGGTCCGAATTCATCG